CGCCCCCCCCCCCCCCGATGCCTTGGATCCTTCGCAGGGACAGGACTGGAGCCGGGGCCCCCCGTTGTCAGCGACTCGGAGGATGACGACCTGCCCTGGCGTGAGTGAGCGAGGGCGGGGGAACAGGCTGTTATCGTAGGGCCTACAAAAACACAACAAGGTGGCGGTTACGGTAGGACCTACATAAACACCAGGGTTGTGTTATTGTAGGAACCACCCAGAGGTGGAGGGGAGTGGAAGGGGGTCATCCCGGATCTGATAGGACCCTCCGGGGGTTATTGTAGGTCCTACAGTAATAATCTGTGCCCCACTTCCCCAGGCTTTGCCCGTCGAGACGCTGCCTCGCCCCGAGTCGTGCCAGAGAGGTGGGTGGGACCCCGACACGTGGGTCCCTTTTGGGGGTTCAGGACATCTGGGTCCCTTGGGGGTGAGCCCAGGTCCAATTGGGCAGACCCCAAACCCCAACATCCACCCCTGCAGCGACCCGGAGGAACCAGATGTTTGCCCAGATGTTCGCCCCCCCCGAAAACGCCGGCATACCCCCAGGCCAGGCCCCCACCCAGATGTGGCCTCACCCTGCCCAGATCCAGACTTCAGAGGACCCAAAAAGCGTCGTTTTGGCCCCCAAACCACCCTGGATCCAGATGTGAGGAAAAAATCAGCTCTTCCAAATGTTCAGCCCCAAAATCACTCGCTGAATCACCCAAAGGTTGCAAATCCAGATGTGAAACACCTGGAAGGCAGCAACCTGACTCTCGCCGTCGAGAGCGATACGGATGGCGAGGCACCCCCAGAAACTGCTTTTTTTCACCCAAAGTGCCACCGGGCTGCCCTGGAGGTGAGCAGTGAGCCGGATGTGCTGGAAAGAGACATGAACCCAGATGTTGGAGCTGCTAAAAATGGATGCCAGCTGCTTGTGGTGGACAGTGACACAGATGTGGAGGAGGCCGAGGCCCTTCCAGATGTTGTGTGCCCCGAAAGACATAGAACGGCCCCAAACGTGCCCAAAAAAAGGGGTGTGGGGATGGAAACAGCAAATCCAGATGTTGGAGGTGCTAAAAATGGATGCTGGGCACCCGTGGACAGCGATACAGATGTGGAGATGGAGAATGCAACGTCAGCTGTTGAAGGGCCCCAAAACGGACATCGGATGCTCGTGGTGGACAGTGATACAGATGTGGAGATGGAGAATGCAATGTCAGCTGTTGAAGGGCCCCAAAACGGACATCAGATGCTCGTGGTGGACAGTGATACAGATGTGGAGGAGCAGAGCACCAGGCCAGATGTTGGATGCCCCCAAACCCCTCAAACGACCCAAAATGAACCAAAACCCGAAAATACGGAGATGGAGACCCACGATGCAGATGTTGAAGGGTCACAAAAGGGACAGCAGATGCTCATGGTGGACAGCGATACAGATGTGGAGGAGAATGGAGCCAATCCAGATGTTGAGTACTCTCAAACCCATCAAACGACCCCAAATGTACCAAAACCCCAAATCGATGAGATGGAGATGCAAAAAGCAGATGTTGAAGGGTCACAAAGGGGTCATCGGGTGCTTGTGGTGGGCGGTGATACAGATGTGGAGGAGGACACTTCCCATCCAGATGTTGGAGGTCCACAAAACCACAGAACAGCCCCCCAAGACCCAGGTGTGAAGGCAGAGACCCCAGATGTTGAAGAGCGACAGCCTCTCCTGGTGGAGAGCGATACAGATGTGGAAGAGGACACTTCCGATCCAGATGTTGGGACTCCAAAAGCCCATCCAGCAACCCACAATGTACCAAGACCCCCGCAGGTGGAGGCGGAGACTCCGAATCCGCGTGCCAAAGGACCCCAAAACGACCGTTGGACGCTCGTGGTGGACAGCGATACAGATGTGGAGGAGAATGAGGGGAATCCTTGTGTTGGGCGTCCAAAAATCCATAGAATTACCCACCAAGACCCAGATGTGGGGGTGAAGAACCCAAATCCAGATGTTGGAGAACCCCAAAATGCACATTACGTCCTAGAGGCAGATAGTGACACGGATGTGGAGGGCGACAGCCCGAGGCAACGTGTTCTTCTCCCAAGAAGCCACAAAACACCCCAAAACACCCGGCAAGACCCAACTGTGGTGATGGAGACCCCAAATCCAGGTGTTGGCGGCCTCAGCCATGGCTCGGTGGCCTCCAGTGGTGACAGCGATACAGATGTGGAGGACCTCAACCCCCTTCCCGACGTTGGAGGTCCAAAAGCCCATGGGACAACCCCTGAGGTCGTGGATACAGTTGCTAAGATGGCCGCTGCTTCAGATGTGGACCCCCAGGGGCCGCTGGGGACCAAGGACGATCCAGATGTGAAGGTGACGCGCCCAGCTCCAGATGTTGGAGCCCCCAAAGCCCAGTCCCCAGTCCTGAACGTGGACAGTGATACAGATATTGAGGACGATGGCAGCGTTCCAGATGTTGGGACAGTGCAAGGGTGTGAAGGGGCACCTGGTGGCCCAGATGTGGCGGCGGCACCCCCAAATCCAGATGTTTCCTCTCCCGCAAGCCCCGGGGATGGCAGCGACACCGACATGGAGGAGGTGGCCCCCACTCCAGATGTTCGGAGTCTCCGAAGCCGAATCCGGAGTCAAAATCGGCTCCGTCCAGATGTTGGAGGCCCCACCATGGGCAGCGACACCAATGTGGGGGAAAGAGACCCAAACCGATGGCAATCATCCCCCAAACGGCAAAGTTTGTCCCCAGAATCCTGCGGCAACACCAGCGTGGAAGAAATGGCCCCAAACCAGCCCGATTCAGCCCCAAATGCAGACGTGGAGGCCCCCAATCCAGATGTTGAGGCCCGGCAGCGCGACGGGGAGAGCCCGGGGAGGGGCACGGATCCAGCTGTGCCACCAGATGTTTCCGCCCCCAAATCCCCACCTCTGGCCCGGAATTTGGGTGGCACCGGCGATGCCGAGGGTGGACCCAGGAGCGGTGGGGATGTGGGTGCGGCGGGGACGGGGAGCGACACCGACGCCGAGGGTAAGCAGGGCAGCCCCGGACACCCGGGTCCCTGTTTCCCGGACGCCTGATCCCTGTTTCCAGATGCCCCCATCCCCCTTTCCCGGATACCTGGGTCCCCCTTTTCCAGTCTTTCCCAGCTCCCCGGGCCCGCCTGTTCCCGGACACCCGGGTCCCCCTGTTCCCAGACACGTGGATCCCCCATTTCCTGGGTGCCCGGGTCCCCCTGTTCCCGGACGCCCAGGTCCCCCTCTCCCAGACACGTGGATCCCCCATTTCCCGGGCGTCCGGGTCCCCCTGTTCCCGGACGCCCAGGTCCCCGTGTTCCCAGACCCCCGGGTCCCCCTGTTCCCAGATTCCTGGGTCCCCCTGTTCCCGGACCCCCAGGTCCCCCTCTCCCAGATTCCTGGGTCCCCCTGTTCCCAGACCCCTGGGCCCCCCTTTCCCGGATTCCTGGGTCCCCCTGTTCCCGGACCCCCGGGTCCCTTCTCAAAGCTCTTCCATGTCCTCCCCCCCCAGAAGTCCCCGACCTCTTCTTGGAGCCCACCCAGAACTTCCTGCCACCGGCGGCTGAGGGTAGGTGACCCGGACCCCTGGGTGTCACCCCCCCACTCCCCCCCCCAGACGCCTGGGTGTCCCATCC